GACGAGTTCTCGAGGAAGTACGACAACGAGGCCGAGAAGGTGAACGCCGTGCGGGAGAGTCTGGCCAACGAGTCTATACCTTACGTCGTGCTCGACGCGGAGAAAAGCCCCGGGAACGTTTTCCAGCAAGCGATGCTGATCATCGAGCCTTACACGCGCCGTACCACCTCCGCCCTCGAGCAAATATCCACCATAGACATCGAAACGGCCGACTCGCTGCTCGACTGCGGCTACTACTTCCTCAGCTCGTTCGGCCGTTGGTGCCCGGTCCAATTGCACCGAAACGAGATCCCTCTCCAAATGTTCCTGCCGTTGGAGTTCAGGGACGACGTATACCCGGCCATACACCGCCAATACATTTACTTCTTCGGCGGTAAGGAAGCCCAGGAGGAATTCGTCAGGGATCCGTACAAGTATCTCGAGCAGGACTCTTACGCGCCCATCACGCAGTTTCGAATCTCGGTGATCGGGCCGCCTAAGTGCGGGAAAACCACGCTCTCCGAACGATTCGCGGAGAAGTACAAGTTGAAGCTGATCACCCGTGGCTCCGCCCTACGTTACATCATGAAATATTTCCCTTGGGTTGAATCGGCCGAATCGGCCGAGTCCCATCTACGAATGGGACGAATGGTCCCTATGGAGAAGATGCAACGGGCCATCGAGATGTACTCGATCGATCCGAGCATAATCTCCCAGGGCTTCGTGTTGGACGGTTTCCCCATGAGTCGAAAGGAGTACGAGCAGCTCACCTACTTCGGCGTCCAACCGATGATCATCCTCGATCTGAAATCCGATCTGGAGTTCTCGCTCGAGTGCTTGTCGCGGGACGGGGACGACGAGATAACAAAACCGCCCAGGTTTTCCAAGAAATTTTTGACCCACCTTTACGACGTATGGCGGGTCGATCAGGACAATTATCGACGCTGGTTGAGAAATTTCAATCAGAACGTGATCGAGATGGACGCGACCAGGTGCATGTGGCACGTGTGGACCCGTGCCGATCGAGACGTTTGCTCGAGATACGTCGAGATCAGGAAATATTTTCGCGAGAGCGATTACGAGAAGGTTCACAGTTTGAGGTATATGAGCGTTTCCCCTTACGAGTTCAGGAGCAAGCAAAGCGGTTTCCAAACGTATTGCCCCCTTTGCTTGTATCACGAGGACGCGTTGACGAGGAGCGAGGTCCCCGATCATCGAGGGGTGGTCCAATTCAGGGAACACTTGTACTGGATTTGCCCGAAACACATGGACGAGTTCGTCGAGGATCCGGAGAGGTATCTTCCACCGGTAAACACGAAATATCTTCCCGACCAACGTCCACGAATATTGACAGAGACGATCGATTTGGAGCATCCGTGCTGGATCAAACGGTTGCGAGTGAAAGGGTTGTGCTCGGTCACTTATCTGGACCATCTGCCGAGTCGGAACATCGTGCGAGGAAAGCTGAGCATAGGGGTTTTGTACAAGGACAACGTGTACTTGTTCTGCTCGAACGCGTGCCGCGACAAATTTATGGAAAAGCCTGAGAGATACGCGGGCACCGTGGTCAATTTCAGCCGCACGTTGGCCCCGATCGACATCAGGGCATTGCCGAATCTTGGCTTCCTGGAGCAGACGGTCGCTTTGTTGATAATCGACGCTATAAATCAGGTATCCATAAGCAGGCCAAAATTCCCGGGTATGTCGCCCTCGGCCACCGCCGCCATTTTTATCGGCACGTACTTGAAGGCGAAAAACGAGCCCGTTTCAAGGGAGACGGAGTTGTACAGAGCTATCAACGAAAGGATTTACGGTTACGAGAAGATATTGAAGCTCGCCACCCGGATGATGAAGCAAATTCTAAACCCTTTCATCAGTGTGAACGAGCATAAGAAGAGACCCCGTCATTACGGTTACACGTTCAGCCAATTGTCCGTGATAAGTCACGATCCTAAACGCGACACCAACTACGTCTCCTTCTGTCGGACGTCGCCGACCCAAATTTTGGTCGACCTCGAGGAGAACGACCTCGAAGAGTCGAATATAAATATTAATAATATCGAGGATTCATACTTTGACTTAGCCTAAGTTGTTATTATTAATATCTTTTCTGTATCTTGTGTGATGAAACAATTTTGTAAATAGATCAACGTTGAATAGAATTTCAATTCCTTTCTTTTCCTTTCTTTTTAAAAGAAAGACGTTCGTTCGTTTAATCAGATTAATTCATCTTTCAGCACGTCGCGTACCTGTTCCTGACTCAAGATTCGATTATCTGTGCGACTATTTCAAACCGGCCAGGTACGTAAATTCGTTGTAAATATTGTTGTGGATCACAAATCCGATATCGTGTAGTCGCTGTATTATCGAATGAAGGCAGTCCAAAATCCACCCTCGCGATGGGAAACGAGTTGGAATAATCGTTGACATTTCCATACTTTTATTTTCGCAAGGTGGGGGGACGCTACGTGAAAGCGGTACGTGATCTGCAATGCAGATTCAAGAAAATTCCCGACACATCGTAGTCGAATATCTATCGACTTTGCGTACCTCTCTCGCATAACTCGCCTTGTAATAATAAATTTGAAGTAATATTTCTATTCTGAAAAAAGATTATAAATCTCTAGAATAAAAAATATATAATAACGAAATATTTACAAAATACACGTTATTTATTTCGAATATTCTTTTTCAAAAATAAAAAGTTGGGAAGAAATTAAAATCTTCATATTTTAAAAACATTTTAACCAATGCGTACATTCGAATTAATTAAAATTTCATTCTACTTTGAAAACTGACAATGGAAGCCTAATGAAACGCCTTGGCGAGCAGAGAGGGGAGGGGAAGAGTCGTGTTTACTTTTCATCACGGCCGAGGCTCGGATGAGATGCAACGAAATCGTGCGAATTCGTTGAAAAGAGGTTATGTAAAAACAAGCAGTTTATCGAAAGTGAGTTTGCCGTGGGGCACGTGTCGGTTCACAATTCCGCTAATTCGGAGAGATTAAAATGCGAAAACGGCGTCGAGATCAAAGAGCAACGGCCCTCCACAGAGAGAGAGAGAGAGAGAGAGATATTGCACACGGTCCAACTCCTGCTTGTTGCACGTGTCGGATGATTCAACGATCCCTAATGAAAGCCATCTCTAACACTCTCCCCTTCCCCATTCTTGGTCATTTTACCAACACGCCAGTCTTCAAAGGCTAATTGTTTAATGATGCT